TCTCTCCCCCTACTCTCAGTCTCTCCCTTATCATAGACACTATTATTAGAACACAAAGGCAGCACCTTGACTCAGACTTGGGGACTGCTGGGAGCAAGAAGCTGCCATGTGCCTTCTTTCATGATAGGCATGCCATAATGGTATCTCGGTCTTCTTGCCTCCTCTGTGGGCTTCATCAGCTCAGAGAGAGGCATAGTTGCTCTCTGCAGCAAAAAGAGCAAAGGGGAAGGTTACAGTGCTGAGGTCTTGTTTTGTTTGTACAGGAACCAACACTCTTCCCAAAAGAATGTGTCTACATCCATGATCCACAAGGCCTGAATGTCCTGAAGAAAGGGTGCGCCAGGTACTGCAATCAAACCCTCACGGTGAGTGTGTTGAAAGACCACATTCCCTTTGAAAGGAGCTCAGCTTTGCTCTTTCTTATTCACCAAGAAGAGTTCAGACTCTTTGAGCAGAGAGAGGGCTCGATGGGAGCAAAAGGAAAGCTGTCCCACACAAAGGGCTGTCCCCAGGACCATCACATGAACCAGCTACCTGCTTTTTCTTTGGCAGAAGAAGGGTACCAACCTGTTGCAAATGTTAGAAAGCAGCTGAGTTAAACATGAGTATAATAAATAAATAAATTAGAGCATGCCAGTTGCAACCAGCCAAGCTGGAGGAAGCCATGAGACAAATGGTGCAGTGTTAGCTGTGGCATGTTTTCTCTGAGAGTGCCCTGGTTTTAGCATTTCTCCCGAAGGAAGCTGAGCACAGGGAAAGTGCTGTAAGTGGTGAGGTGATAGCATCCTGTTTATGAAACATTGTCAAATGGTTTAGGAAAGTCAGTCTGAGTGAGTTTATGGACCTCACATTTGTCTGCAGCTCCTGACCTCTCACAGTGCCAACTATATGGAACGATTTGTGGGTGTCTCATTAAATACTGCTGATTGTTTGTCTTGTGATTGTTCTTCTGTTGCTCAGTTGTGACAAGGCCTGCAACCCAGGACTGCTACATCCCTCCAAAGGAACACAGTCCTCAGTAAGGATAAAGGAGTTAGTGGGCCAGCACTATTAAAGAAATAAAAGCTTGTAGAAAACATGGACCCAATTTTTGGAAGTCAGAGAGGAGAAAATAGTGATTTTTTCTGAGAAGAATAGGCTGTGAGCAGCAAGAGGGGTATTCTTGAAAAATAATGTAAGTTCAGGAGGTCCTAGAAACATGGATGCCAAATGAGACAGTCCGTTTCAGTCCATGGCAGAGAGGAGGACCAGGATTTCAGAACTGAGAGCAGGATGACTCCAGGCAGTTCTTGTTAAGTCATGTCATACCTTACCAATTTTGCTTTTGTTTCAGAAACCTGGATGCTGCAAAGGATTCTTTGGTCCAGACTGCATGCCATGCCCAGGGGGGTTTTCCAGTCCATGCTATGGCCAGGGAAACGTAAGTACAAATGATCCTGCTGTGTTGCAATAAGAAGTTGAGACAGTGTGGTTAGAGAGTGTAGGTGTAGATAAGTACGATTCAGAGTTTGTGCTCAAGGGCTAAGCCCACAGCGGTGACAGCAGAAGACCCAGGGAGAATGACATGTACTCAGTGGGTTTTCTGTCCTGACCTCTAATGTGAATCATGTCATGGCTGTTGGGGACAGCTCTAGCTATGTGGGATTTTGTATTACAACCACCACTTTTTGAAGTCCTATTTTTTACTGCAAGTATCAAAGTGCCTTTGATAGATATCAACGCCTTGGTTTTGCCTCGGTTCCCTGAGTTTCAGTCCCTTTGGTTTTCTTTTTGTTTTCTTTCCAGTGCAGTGATGGCATACAAGGGAATGGCAACTGTCACTGCTTTGAAGGTTTCAAAGGAATAGCCTGCCACATCTGTTCAAACCCAAACAAGCATGGCGAGAACTGTGATGAAGGTTTGTAATTCTGATAGAGAGACTAGAGGAAAATGTAGAGCGAGGATATAATGCAGGTTCATGTATCCTGGATTCCCTTCTGGCAAGACCTTGCAAAAGAAGTGAGAGAAATGTCATCATGGCTGTCCCTTCAAACAGTGGAGAAAACGTAACTGATATGACAGTAATGATGGGGGTCTTGGAAACATCAGCCAAATTTAGGTGTGGGACTTTGATTTAGATCTCTCCTGCTAGGCAAGGAAAGACAGTTGACAAGGACCTTGAGCTTGATAGCCTAAATTTGAGCCTGTCCTTACAGCCTGTAAAAAAGACGGACCTAGTCAGTCAGGATCTCTTCCCTGGTCAGGGTTTGAGTTATGATGGATGTCTCTCAACAGGTGTCCCTCTGTCAAGGACAAATGGGATGATTTGGTGTCACAAGAGGTTGTGCAGGAAAGCTGGGAATCTACCAAATGCTGTCACTGTGATGGATTCTGGACTTTTTGTAGTTACTAATCTTACTCCATGTACTTGATAGATTGTGGCTGTGTCCATGGCATCTGTGACAACAGGCCTGGCAGCGGTGGTGTGTGTCAGTCCTGGTCCTGTAAGGAAGGCTATACCGGGAAATTCTGCGACAAGACATCCAAGAACTGTGGACCAAGCGGGATGTCCCAGTATTGCCACCAGAACGCTGTCTGCAGCCTCAATGACACAGCAAGGTCAGTCTTTGACATGCACATTCAGGTGGGCACATTGTCATTGTACAGTGGCTGTGAGGCTGCCAGCTCTGTAATTGTGTATATACAGCTGTGTACTTGTGTACAGGATTGTTTGAGTAATGTGGCCAACCTGCAGGAAATTGAAGTCAGGTTCTTGCTTGCTTGAGAGGCTCAAACTGCCTTTTTGCTCTCTGCTGGCTTTCAGAAGGGGCTGCTCTAGCTGTGTTCCTTTTGTGCTTATACATTTAAGGTGTATCTGCATGGATGGGTATGAAGGTGATGGGTTTTCCTGCCAGCCCATCGACCTGTGCAGTCGGCCAGAACGAGGAGGCTGTTCGCAGAATGTAAGTGGGGTCAGACTGTGGAAGTGTGGAGAAGCAGCTCCTATCACTCAGAGCAGGGATCTAGAACTCCTGGGACTGTTACAGATTTTGTGCGCTAGCTTTCCCTATCTGTAAGATGGGGCGGAATAACAGGTACCTTGACACAGTCATCATAAGGATGTCAATCATTTGGGTTGGTGCCAAAATGCAACACCCAAGGAGAGTTTGGCTGGTTTGCACTAGATATTTTGGCAGCTACAGAGATTAGCTGTACAGATAATTTTTGGTTTGTATTGATTTTCCACTCAAGCTCTTCCAATGTGTGTTGGTTTCTCTGTTGCTATGTTCAGGCTGTAGCTTAACTATGAGCTCCAACTCATTTTTGTAGTAACCATCAACATTACATTATTATCTTTAGTAAAAGACTGTGGTGCTTTATGATGGAAATGGCTGCCAAATGGTCAGATCTCGTCATAATTTAGACGCCTCAGTGAGAGGAACGCATTGGGCCATGTAAAAGAAAATAGGATGGCACTGCTGGGTACAAAGTAGGTTTTTCCTGAGGGATATCTGCTCTCCATCATTGATTCCATCCCGCATGTCCAGGCAGGAGATTGTGCTCCTCCTCTTCAGGGTATATTTCTTCTGTAATGGAAGAGCTTTACAGGATGGTAGCGAATGCCCTGGGAGTTCTGAGCCACCCTAGACACAAGTGTCTGCATCTCTGAAAACACAAAATGTTTTCCAGAGATGTATTATAAAGTTGTCTATGACTTTTCTGGAGAAGATGCTTCCACTCCCCCACCCCCAGTGCTGGAATCAGAGTTGGTCATTCAGAAATTCTTCACAGTCTGATGAAGGAGATTGGTTGCTGTATTTGCACTGCACTCCCTCACTTCTTCTGCTGAGTGTAATTCTTTTTCTCTGTGTTCTCCTGGAGGCCCTGTGCACCAGTACAGGCCCCGGCACTGCCACCTGCCAGTGCAACACGGGCTGGACTGGGGATGGGAAGGCCTGCGTGGCCATAGACAACTGCATGCTGGAGAGCAGAGGGAATTGTCACATCAACGCCAACTGCGTTTATATCGGCCCTGGCCAGGTATGATCAATGCTAAGCAGTCTGATGGTAGACTTATTTCCTAAGCTGCTCTGAGATGGCCTTGGATTGCCAGAGGTAGAAATTGGGCTGGTCAGCAGCAAAGCTTGCTTGTCTGCTGCCAGAAACAGCAGCTGCAGCTAAAACCACATAGTGTACTTGCATGTGGTGAGATGATGCACTGACGTGTTGAGGCTGCTCTTCTACTCTGAAACTTCAATGCAGCAAAGGGAAGAGACTGCACTCCATAAACAGGCTTGGTATAAGGTATCAGTTGCTGTGTCCCTCTTGTTCCCAGATTGTCTTTAGGTGACGCTAAAATATACAGAAAAGCATGTGCAACTGTTCAGATAGTCCACGGAGGAAGCTGGGCCGGGAGTTGAGCATCTTGAGATAGAAGGAAGGTGCACCAGAGAGGTGGCTTCTCGGGGTGCTTCTCCCCAGTGAGCAAGGGGAGCATTGGACAATGTGCTGAGAAAGGTGCCAAATCTTTAGGAGTTTTTAGTGAGATGAGATGTACAAGTGCTCTCCTAGCTATCCTGAACGCAGGAAGCTTTGAAATTAACTCTTCACTTTCTGCCATTCACAAAGTCTGGGTCATTCCCTGAAAAGCTGTAAACAAAGATGGAAGCCATCATCTTCAAGTAACCACCTCACTGCCAAGCAGTGCAAGGGATCAGTGTGCTTGAGTAACCAGGCAGCCTGTGTGCTGTGATAGAAGGATGATGCTCTGCTAAGTAAATACCTCCACATTTCCAGGTCTTGAGGGACCAGGAAGAAAACTTGGGAAAATAAATTAAGAATAGATTTTGCTGTCTTAGGCCTTTTTTGGGTACCAAATGAGGATGCTCTGATAGGTCTATAAAACTGAAAGGTCTCTTTCTTACAGAGCAAGTGTGTCTGCAGGAGGGGTTATGCTGGTGATGGCCACAACTGTGATGTGATCAACCCATGCCTCATGGACAACGGTGGCTGCCATGACTTGGTGAGTAGCTAAAGAGCTGTCCCAAGGCTGGCATGGGAGTGGAGGTTCCTCTGCTCCCTGACAGAGGTTTTTCATCCACGTCATTGAGAGAATTGCGAGGCTTTATGTTATGTCATCTTACTGGCATGCCTCAGAGGTATTATAAAGGTGGATCCTCAGATTTTTATGAGTTAGCACAACCAAAGCTATTACCTAGGCTTAGATGCATGAGATATAAATTCAGTGCCACCGTGAAGGCAACAGAAGGAAGGTGCTTGTGTGTGTTTCTCTAGCTCAGGCTGTGGAAGGCCAGAATTCGATTCCTAGATGGGTGTAACACTGCATAACCTGTGTTTGCTCTCTAGTTTCTCCTTTCCTTGTATTTGCAGGCTATGTGCATACCCCTTGGTGGAGGAGAGAGATCCTGCACTTGCCCTCAAGGCTACATCGGGGATGGCATGACATGCTATGGGGACATTGTAAAAGTGAGTAAAAAGCAAATGTCTGAGATCTTTTTGAGATCGGAGAGAAATGGCTCTGCTCTCACTTTCCTTTTCTCTGTTACCTGAGTTGGCTTCATCTCCCAACACTAGCCTGACAGCCCAAGCATGTCCCAAGGCCACAGGGACAGAACTGATGCCAAGGCAAATTATCGCCAATGAAACCATTGGCAATAATTGCTAATCTGCTTCACCCCTGTCCGTCCTGTGCAATGTCATCTTTTCTTTGTTGTTCGGGAGGTTTTTCAGGTCAGATCTGCTAGGCGCATTTTCTGTCATTAGAAATATGAAAGACCATTGTGAATTTAGTCCCTGTCCCTGGTAAACATGAGCAATTGCAGATGAGTTGAAAAGAGTTTGTTTATTTGCAAACATATTTTTTTTAATGGCTGAAGTTTGGTTTTAGGAGTGCCCATCCCTCCCCATGATACATGGTGCCTGTAATGGTTGTGAGGTGAGAGGAACGTCTAAGTCACTATTGCTAGATGTGATATTGCAAAGGGCTCTTTTCCCCACCCTGTGTCTCCCAGCACCACAACCTCAGTGCTAAGCAGGTGTAACCCTTCTGTTGTTTCTATTTGAAAGGAGCTGGCCAGGAATTCCCACTTCACAGGCTTCTACAGCTGGATTAAGGTAAGAATGGCCATGGGATGCCCGCATGGGTAAGTTCTGTAGAAGTGAAGTCTCTCTGAATGCTGCTGTTAGAGGAAGAGCAACTCAATTTATCTTTTTCATCAGAGGAAAACAAAACAATAGCAAAGGAGAAATTGTTACAGAGCAGGCATGTGGAAAAGCTCTGGAGTTTGACAGAGTGAGGGTCATGAGTGTGTTTTGGGGGCCTTGTTTCTAGCACAGGAGGAAGCTGGAGATATGTTACGCTTAATTTTCATGGTTGTCTCATCTGTAACTCCAGGCCATCATAAAATGGCACAGAAGGGAAAGAAAAAGGGGTAGCATTATAATAGCTAATTTTCAGAAGAACATGCTTTGAGAAGTTAGACTGTATGTTTTTTCCTTTTCTTGTTACCACTTCCCTGTCTCCGGTGTGGCAATAACAGAGACACTCCACAGACTGCAGCAAGTCTGTGGAAGCATGCTATGACGTATGGCATCTAATTGAGCTTTAGCTTACCTGTCCTGCAAGATACATTGCTTTTGCCAGGAATAGTCTTGGTCCATCCCCCAAAACTGATATTGAGGGTTCAGAAAGGGTTTATGGATATGATTGAATGGGTTTGAAGATTAATTGAAGGGCTTAAAGCAGCAGGTTTTCCCTTGGCAAAGAGCTGTCAGCTGTTTTGGCTAAACCATCTGTGGCATTCATTGATTGCCAACAGCATTTCCCTGCCATGCCCAGAAGAGCCTGCTGTGCTGCTGAGCAAACGCTGTCTTTCTACACCTCCCTTTCACGTGACTGCAAGAGCAGGATGGCCGTTGGTTATATTTTGTGGTACCGATGTGGCAGTGGCATGTCTTAATTTTTGTGCTTTGGACCACAGAAATCTCTCTTCAGCATCCCAGCAGGAACCAATGTCACTGTCCTGGTGCCATCGGAGGCAGCTATCAAAAATTTGAGCAAGACTGAGGAAGATTTCTGGTTGACGCCCTACATGCTGCCATTTTTAGTCAGGTACAAGAGGACTCCTGCCTTCGCTTTACTATGCCAAACAACAGTAACAAAGCTGTGAACTGAATTTCTGCTTGTACATGACCAATAAAGAGTTATCTTCAGATAAATATAGAAGCAAGATTAAATTTCTAGTAGGCGAAGAATCTAGTAGGTATTTAAAGCATAACAGACCACAGTCAGTGGGAAGTGGGTTTATTTTTCCTGTATTTGCAGAGAGAGATTTTCCCTGTCATGTAGATGCAGATGGCATCAGGACAAGTAATTCCCTCCATCATTCTCTCCACATGCTTAACTACTTCGTGTGAGAGATGTGAATGTTGGATGGTATGGTCCCTGCTATTACAAACAGGGCCGTAATCTTTTCTTTACCTGTCTTTGTTCCCTTCAGGGCGCACTTTCTTGAAGGTGTCTTCACTGGTGAAAAGCTCAAAAAGTACAACAGGCCAGAATTACCCACCCTCAACCCACAGGCCAGATGGCAGATAAACACCAGGAGTGGCGTAAGGGTTTCTTCATGTAACAGTATCAAACTGTGAAAGAGCTGCTCTATCCAGTGGGGAGCCTGGATGGGACACTGATGTCCTCAAACTCAGACATCTTTCAAATATTGTACCCAGATCAATCATAAGCAACCTTGAACAAACAATATATTCATTTTAAACTTGCTTGGCAATTTCTAATCCTTTTGCTTCTCCTTCTGATACTTCCGCAGGTACTAACCATCCAGAATGCAAGTATAGTTGCAAGTGACATCCCTGCCAGTAACGGCATTATTCATGTCCTCAGTAAGGTACGTTGGTACATGTGACACTGGGAAATGCCGCAGTTGCAGCAGCAGGTCTGTGTTGCAGCATCTGTGATGAGGCCAAGGAAGAATACATGTCTGGACAGTTAGGAAGGGATATAAAGGAAAAAATATATTTGGTTATCACAGGGTCCTGACAGATGTTTCCTGTGCAGCAGTGTTTAATGCTTAAAATACTTGTCTCCAGGACAAGCTGGAGGGGAGTTCCTCTTCTCTTGGCTGACAGAAGAAGAGTTAAGGCTATTGTAGGATTGTGTAAAATGAGACCTTTTCTAATTGCCTTTCTTGCAAACAGAGCAGGAGTCTAGTGTGATTTCCCCCAGAACCCCTTGCCCAACCTTGCTTACGAACTCACTTTTTCCACAGGTTTTGTTGCCACCTTCAGGAGATATCCCACCAAGTCCTCCAGATCTGCAGAAACAGCTTGAGACAGTTGCCTCATTCAGCGTGTTCAAGGAGTTACTAGAGGTAAGCAGTTGAGTCGAGCACGGTTGTGGTTGTCAGAACTGTCTTTTGAGCGAGTGCCCACCTTACCTTGTACTGGTGGACCAAAATTTGGACTAGCTGGTGAGAAAAGGGAGATCACCTGTTTCCTACCATTCATGAGGGATCTTCTAGGAAAGCTGTTTTGAGCAGCCAAAGAGTTATATACTTACAGTTAGATCTCTCTATCATTGGCATGTTATTACAGTGGAAGACAACCTGTCTACCGCAGGCATTCTCATGCTTGTACAGGGCAGAGAAACCTAGAGGAAAAGGAAGGCTTGTTTATAATTGAGAAGCTGTGTTTATGTCAGCCCAGGAGGAGGAGCAAGCAATTAGGTGTGTGTGACTGAGTAGAAGTTGTATATCCCATTTTCAAGCATTTCCTCTAGTGCTCTTGCCTTTGTAATTGATTTCATGTGTGGTTTGGTTTATAGTGAGTACAAGTGTCATTGCTAATATTACTGTTTGGACATTTTTTAGCAATACCAGCTCATTGGAAAAATTGAGTCCTCTGAAAAATATACAGTTTTTGTTCCTGGAAATAATTCCATTGAGGAGTACTGCCATACTGCCAATGTGACACAGTTGGTAAGCGCACTGCTTGCTTACAGTTTGAGTATGTATTGCGGTAAATGCAGGGCTACGTACACTGTCAGATCATAAACTGGAGTTCAGTGGATTTGAGCCTGGAGAGGAGAAGCATATCTGATGCTAAAAGCTGGGAGAAATTTGGCAGAGAGTAATGAGAGGGTTTCCTGGGGTGTTGCAAAAGGGATCTGAAAAGAATATTTGGACTCCGAAGTGCAACTTTCTGAGTAGGTTTGTATGTGGATAGATGGCACAACATGTTCCCCTTCCTGGCTGGCTGTGGCATATCTGTGGCAATTTTCAACCTTTTGAAAGGTTCCAAAAAAATTTGTCTTCATCCAGTAACAGAGTCATCAGGCATGATCAGTCATTTGTGATAGGGAGTTACGAGGCTCTGTGGGCTTAATTAGCCATTACAGATGCTTAGGAACTCTTCTTATGCCATACTTCTGACTGAATTTTAGTCTAGGAAGTCAAAAGAGTCCTAACATTGTGTTTTTTGTGGATTTAGGACAATGAGACAGTGCAGTACCACGTTGTGCTGGGAGAGAAGCTCTTGCCCACAGACTTGAGAAGTGGAATTCATAAGAACAGCATGTTAGGGCTCTCCTACTGGCTAATGTTTTATCAAAACAGCACTCAGGTAAGGAAGGAAGACTGTTCTGCTATTTGAGGATCTGGCTTGACCTACCACTTTCTAAGGGTGGTGGCTGTGTACACTTGTTTCTGCTTTGCACACCCTTACAAGTTTACCTCCTGTGACTGTCTGACAGCTGTTAAGCAGTCCTTGAAAAAGGAGTTGAACGTTATCATCTCAGCCATTTTCTTCTCCTTTGCAGAAGTTCATCAATAATATTCCTTTGGATGGAAAATTTCTTGAGACAAAGAATGGCATGCTGATTGGGGTTTCACAGGTCCTCCAGATACAGAAGAATCGTTGCACTGCCAATACCACCACCATACAAAAGGTAATGATGATTACCAAGGAGCTGACCACCATTTCACAGGGTTTCTCCACCTGCTGAAACCAACTGAAGAACAGCAGACAACCTACCTTGTCTGTTCCACATGGATGAGACAGTAGCTTGTGGTCTGACCCCAGATGAGCCTCATGTGAAATAGGGCGCCATGGAGACTTGGCACCTTCTGGCCTCAGACTCTGTACTTCTAACGCAGCAGATCTGCAACTGTTGTGCAGATCACATTCAGTTCACTTGCTGGGGCTCTCTCATAGTGCCAGCCATGGGGCAGGCTGGTGCAGGGACTCCCAGATACTCAGCTGTGGAAGGAGAATCCAGTCCAATTCTTGTATGGCATGACCACAAGCTCCCCTAGGAAATGCTGTGGTCTGCCTGGGAGTCATGGCCAAAGTCCAACCACATGGATCTTGTGGCTCTTGTGACTGCAGCGTCAAGCTGAGGTATGCCTGCCTTGTTACAGATCAGAAAAAAAGTATTTGCAGCCTTGCACGAAGGAACTCCAGGCCTGCAGAAAGCCCTACCCTAGCTCAGAGACTCAGGAAAGGTGCAGCATGTGTTCCCTTCTGGTTTGTTTTGTGGTACAGTCTCTGGAGCACAGAAATAAGACCCTGTGTACACCACTGGAGTGCAGGAACAAGACCTTGTGTGAAGCCTTTGATAGCAGCCAGGACCTGAGGGTGATGCACCATGATTTTTCTTTTGATGTTTTGAGCCATGGAGATAAATACATCTTTGTCTTTGTCCCAGCCAGCACCCTGTACAGCACCATTTGTAATTCAGGATTAATGTCTCGGTATGACATGGGTAGAGGGCACACATGTGACTTGTCCTGTTCTCTGTGCCCTAGTCAAGATGCGGCAAGTGTGAGAAGGGGATCAAGTGTCCTCCTGGATCAGTTCTTGTGGTGAGTCTTTGATTCATGTGACATCTCAAAGACTGTTTGCAGATAGTACTTTGATGTTCTTTTATTGCTCTACAGATGTCATCTCGATACCTGAAAAAATGTGCCCTTGAGTCTTCTGTGGCTCATTCATTAGCAAGGTTTGTAAGAGAATGCAGAAACCAAGAGAAAGCAGAAACCAAGGGAGGCTTATGCAAGAAAAACGCAAACATGAACCATGAGGCTCCTTACAGAGCTGGCACCAGGCTTTGCCTGAATTTCAGGAGCCTTTCAGAGCATACAGTGTGGGGATTTTCTCTGCTTAGCAAGGAAGAAGAGATTTTTTTTTTTCATCTTTTACTCTTTTGACATCAAGGAAAGCCAGTTTAGGGGTGCCAACAGCAATTTCCCAGCCTGGACCATTGATTTGTTCACACAGATGGGCTGGTTGTGCCTGCAGCTTGTTTGTGAGTGACTGAATGGCAAACATTTCTAGAGAGGAAAACAACACATTTCATCTACATGCTGGCTATGAATTGTCTAGCAGCCACATCTGGCTTCTTAGGCTTCATTACTTTACTCTGTGCCAGAAATTTTCCGATTGCTTTATCTCAGTATTCACACTGATATATATACCGATGGATTTGGCAGGTAACAAAATAGACTCGGTGTGGTGACCTCACATCTAGAGATGCCTCATTGATCTCAGCTCTGGATAGTCCAAATTTTTAGGGCTGTTCCTGTTGGATAAAAAGCATTATTCCTCTGTTAGGCAAGAACACTGCCCTATCTGCCAAAATGTACGGTGTTTGTCTAAATATTGTGAGATCTTCTATCTATACCTATGTTAATTACATCTGCAGGAATTGCCAGGAAGCAAGAATCTTGCTCGCTGCGAATTACGCTCTGGCGATACAGGAATACTTGGCTGCCATTTCACCTGTGCAAAAGTTTCTCTGGTAAGAAAAACATTTGCCTCAGATTCATTTTGACAAAAGCAAGATGGGTATTAGAAATACAGCCATGGAAATACAGCCTGTGCTGAAAAACAAACCTGTGGAAAAGTCTGCACAGTGATGGATTGTGGTCTGCTGCTTTGATATTGTTGCTTTGTCCTGCAGAGGAAGAGAAGGAGTTAAATGTTTGTAGTCTGGTTTCCTAAGGAAATGAGGCATGAATGTTAGTATTCTGCTTGTGCATGTGCCTTCCCGAATAACTGATGACTAATTGGAGCTGAACCAAAGGGAGGAGCAGACGGTCTCACAGCTATTATGGCTCCTACCAGTTTTGTGAAAATGTGTGGCTGGGAGAAAACACTTGAAGAGGAAATGGTAAAAGAAAGACTTGCGTGAATTTGAGCTCTTACAGGTATTGAAGCATCTCCCTGGGAAGTTTAGTGGGAATGGGAGATTGAGGAGAAGGGAGAGAGGCAGCTGGACATACAGTACTCACATGCGGAGCTTCATTCAGCACTTGTACCTCCCAGAGCACTTCTGCATCCCTTTGTTAGATAATATTTCTCTTCATCTGTACTGTCCAGCTTGGTCCCATCATGGTTTCCTCCCTCCACGAGTAGATGCAGAAAGAAGTGAGAGCAATTAAATCAGGCTTTGGAACCAAATCACCTTCTGGCAAAGCCTCTCTCTGCCCAACAGAGTGTCTTACTGGTGAGACACACTAGGGACACAGGCAGGAGATAGCTTGATGGGCAAAGGACTGAACATTTGTGTTACTCAGGAATTGTTGTTACAAATGTGTTACAAATGTGTTACAAAGGAATGGAGCAGCTTCCACCATAAAGCTGTACCTTGTCTGTGCTGCACAAGATGGCTCACCCCAACTTGTTCTTGTTGGTTGTCCAGAGGTCCGTCTGCTGCCCCGGCTACTACGGACACATGTGCGAGATGTGCCCAGGGAAGCCAGGCCAGTGGTGCTCCGGGAATGGGGAATGCCAGGACGGCATCGAGGGCAGCGGAGAGTGCCGATGCCTGGAGGGTTTCCACGGCACTGCCTGTGAAATGTGTGAAGTGGGCCGATACGGAGCTGACTGCAAATCAGGTGACACCAGTGGCTATGGCAGCTTCTCTCTACCATCCTGCTTGCAAGGGGAGAAAAGTGGCCATGTCTGAGCTCTCAGGAGGGGTGATGGGAGGGAAGAAATGTCCCAAGAGAGACAGGCAAACAGCTGGCAGAACACCAAGAGAGGGACAGTGGGAGTGAGCGCTTGTGGTCAGCCAGAGGAGTGGCCCCATTTCTCATCCTCAAACCAAGACATGACTGACTGTGCTATGCCGCCTGCTGCCACCCAAACTACAGAAAATAGAGGCGGGTGGTCTGTTCCTGGGCTTTTTGGCCTCGTAGTGAGGGAACAAGAGGTGATACTTCTGTGACACTTTCTTTATGGCAGTGTGATGCATTGGATTAGGAACAGAGCAACCAGTGAAATGGCAGCAAGACTCTGCTTGTGAGACCTGGTTGGTTTGACAGTGATGAGTGTTTATATTTCCCCTGCAGAATGTGCCTGCGACAACGGCATATGTAACGATGGACTGCAAGGGGACGGGAGCTGCAAGTGTTTCCCAGGGTGGAAGGGCCCTACATGCAGAGAAAGTATGTGAGTGTGATGGGGCCTATGGTGTAACATTGCCTTTTTGGCAGAGAAGTCTGTGTGATCCTCTTTACTTCCCAGAGCAATTCTGTGTTAGCCGAGCAAGGAGACCACAGTCGCGTGTACTTTGCATCCCCCTGAAAGCATATCAGACTGTGCTAGCTCATTCCTGCACACAAGCTGCATTTGCGGTGTGACTTACCCAACAGCACGTGAGCCCTTGAGTTATTTGGATGAAATTCATATAGAGAAAAGCATGTCCCCTGCTTCCATCTCCACTGAGATTTGAAGCACCTCAAGAACAGCCTGTTGCTTTGGGAGAGAGATGGAAGCTCCCAGCCAGACTGGATTGACCATGACTTGTATTACCTGCCTAAGAAGGTGGCAGGGCTTGATTTGAAGCCTCCAATGGGCCCCAGTGTGTCTGCTGCATTGCTTTTCTGCTCACAGATCCATGATTTAGGTGAGCTCAGCCCATGTTCTCAATAAATCTGTCATCGTATGTCAGAGTAATATGTTGAAGATGGTTGTTCCTGGGATTTAGGATTATGATTACCATTGGGGTAGGGAGGACACACAAAGATTGATTTTGTAGTGAAGCAAAATGTTTTGGGGGCATTTAGAAATGGAAATTGAGTGGAGCTGTCGTATCTAGTATAAATGTAAAGCACAAAAAAGTTAATCTTTTTCCTTTGAAAGGGGCAAAGCCAAATGGCCCTGTATGTCTGGATTAATAAGGCTTCAGTCCTTGGTTCATTCCTAGCAGTGTGGAGGCCATGCAGAAAGGATTAAATTGAACCATTAGCTCAGCCAGAGAACACAGAATTCACTCCATTGCAAAGTGCCAAAACATAAATCCCATGAGGTTTTCCTGCTGCCACGTAGGACAGGAGAGTTAGCATCACTGCTGGTATGCCCCATCATCAGTCAGGGCGCCACAAGTGTGGCAGTGAGGCTGTTTGCAGGGTCCTTTAGTCTAGAAGGCAGAAATGGCCCCAGCAAGTGCTAAATTGAAAATGCCAAGTCACATTTGGGTTTTCTTTTGCAGGAATCGAGATTGACTTATGCAATAACACTTGCCATCAAATGGCCAAGTAAGTACAGACAAGGGGCTGGGTCATTCTGAGAAAGCCATATGTGTTTGCATATGTTTTACATACAGGTAATTCTGTGTTTCGGGCTTCACAGAGGGCTGGGAGAAGGTGCCTACTCATTAAAGATGCATAATTGTCAGTTCTACTCTCGACACTCTCTTTGGTGCTAAGCTACATTCAGTTTTCCCAAGGATTTTGTCTGTCTGAGCATAAATTCTTTCCAGGTTCTTTCTGCATGTGTGGATGGGTGAAAGCAGAGACTCCAAGCTACTCCAAGTCTGGCCTTATTCATGGAGCAAGTCAACCAGCCATTTACAAGCCCTTTCTGCCTTGCCTGCCCCTGCCAAGGAATTAAAATAGGCTGATGGGCTATGATGACTCTCTCTTGCTGCCTTCTCTATCCATTATCTGGCCCCCTGTTTTCTCATCTCCACTGTACTGTGCAGAAGCACATGGGCATGGTGAAGGTGCACTGTGCAAGGTGTGAAGCCTGTGCATGGATGCCAGCTCCCTGGCCAGCGTGACTTGAGTATTTGGTGGTATAAAGATCTACATAGCAACTTCGGACAGGTTCCTCCCGTGGTCATTGTGGTCTCTAACTTGCATATGCCAGACTTGTATAGTGTTTCCCACTGGCCAAGCAAATCAGGGGGTGTTGTCAGTGATGGTTTATCCCTTTCTTGTTTCAGCTGCCTCAACAGTTCTGCAGATTCCACACCTACATGCTTCTGCTCTGCCGGATACACAGGGAATGGGACCCATTGCACAGGTATGTCCAGCAACTGTGGGCAAGATTCAAAGCTTGCAAAAAGCAGTTGAAGCTATGCAAAGGCAAGGCTTTTGTTTGTGAAATAAAGGACATGATGTTGCCAGGGGAAAGATCATTCAAATCCTTTTCCTCTCAGCCATCCACCATGAACTCTGCCATGCTTTGGCAGAGAAGTTTTCCAGTCCGGAGCTTTACAGAGGGTGCTCTTGATGTTGCTGGAGCCTGTGAGAGAGGGATAAAAAGGCAGGCAAGTGTAGCAGGGCAGTTCTTATTGCTTGTGGAGAGAGATGCACATGAATGGGTTGTATTAGTTCTGATATCATAGCAATGATGGCAAGGATATAACAATTTTGGCCATGAATCCCTAGAATGTGGATGCTTCAATTCCCTAGAATTTTGTGCTCCTCCTAGTTGCTGACCATGCAAAATCGGGTAGAAGCAGTGTAGCAGTTGTGCCAAAATGAGGTAGGATTTTGGGATACTGCTCTAGAGCTACATACAAACCTGGTCTCTGTTAAAAGCAAACAGATAAAAAATCCTACTCCGAGTGATAACATGGTAACAATCCAAACACTGACATCACAGTTTCTTTTCAGTATTGCCCTTGTTTGAAACTGAGTGAGCAAGGAAAAAAGGAAAAAAAATATTACATTGTGCAGGAAAATATTTTTTTTTTCATCTAACCATTAGTCCTCAGTGAGCAAGTGCTGTGATGGAAAGACTTCTTCGTCCAGTTTGGGGATAACTTAAGCTCAGCATGACTTTTGGACTGGCCTTTCTCAGATCCAGATGAGGCCCCGTGCCTTTAAAGGACCTACAGTTTCATTAAAAAACAAAGGGATTTTAATAAGATGTTGTGATTTTTGTTAAGATTGATGGTCATTCTGGCACAGTTCATCTTTCCTAGATGCTCTGAGCTGATTCTGCTTCTCTTGTTTGTGATGACAGAAATAGATCCATGCACTATCGATCATGGTGGCTGCTCCATACACGCCATGTGTACTAAAGTCTCCCCAGGAGAGAGAACCTGTGTTTGTAAGGAAGGCTATGCTGGAGACGGGACGCTCTGCATGGGTAGGTGCTCAGTGCATGTTTTGGTGATAGTGGTGAGGCATCATGCATGCAAAGGGGACTTTCAGACTAAAAGCATTAAAATTTCAGGTTAAAGTGTTGAATAACTCAATTCTCCTTTCACTTTGTTCATGCAGTGTTTATTTCAAAGCAAGGAATTGCTGGCTAATCTTGATACAACTGTCTGTCTTGTTTTTGTTGAGGTGTACACACACGTACATGTAACGTGCTCAGCATTCTTCCCAAGGCATGATTCATGAAGTGGTCATCACTGTGCCAGCACAGTGCCAGCCAAAACTGGGCAGAAAGCCCACACTGCCCTTGGCACCTGTCTCGCTATATGGCCTCAGACCAGTGTTTTGGTCTCAAACCAAAAGAGCCCTGAGAGGTTTCTTGCCCTGATGCATGTTCTGGAGAGGTCCAGAGACAGAAGGCGAGGGCAGTCTCCCACAGTGGTGATCTGAGATGAAGATGGAGCTGTGGGAGAGTCCAGTCCTTTCACACCCTCTAAAGCACACCCAGGCAGGCATAGGATTTTCTGTGGGCAGATTTATCACAACTCAAAGAAGCACTTGTGGGAGGAGTAGAACTTACAGTTGCACCCTGTTCCTTTGCTACCACAAGTCACTTTTCCACCAAAATGTTTCCCAAGCTGGCAAGGCCCTCCCTGTTACTTCCCAATACCTCTTTGGTTGCCAACTCCCAGCTGCCTTGAGCAGCCCTCAGCAATGATGCGGCCTTTTTGTTTTGCTGCAGAAATTGATCTCTGTCTCGAAAGCAACGGGGGCTGCCACACCAACGCAGAGTGCATTAAAACAGGCCCAAGAAAGGTAAGTATGTGAGATGGAAGTCAGGGCAACATTGTTATGGAGGTTGTCGCAGCTCTGTCATTCTCTTAGAGACAACTCTTCCCATTGCAGTGTGCTGCCTTGTGGTTATTACCTTCCACATAGAGAAGTTGCCTGGGAAGGGCATGAAAAGACTGCTGTTTCCTTGAAAGCAGATGCCTTCTGTTGGCCAGAGGTTGGAGGCAGTCTTGGGCTATATTTGTTGTGGATGCAAGCATGGTTACTCATGAATGTAGCGATGGGTGCTATACCACATACTTTCCATCCAGCTCAGCCGTTGTGTGTTTTCTTTATTTGGTCCAAGTTTCAGACTGATCATCTCTTCTCCCTCTAGGTTGCCTGCAACTGTCTTCCTGGTTACAGTGGGGATGGCGTGAGCCAGTGCAACCCCATCAACTTGTGTGAACAGGTATGTCTGCATTTTGCTGTTACCAGAGGTGAAGACCATAGCCTTGAAGTGTTCCTTTCTCCCTACAGTTAACAGCAAGAACAGGGTTAGCCTGCTTGTTTAGAGCTGTCTGTCTTGTTTTTTCACATACTAAAGGGATTTCCTGGTGACTTTGGTTTCCATTGCCTCTTGCAATGACCTGCAAGTATGTTGGCATCCATTTTGTGTGGGACATGCTCAAAAGCTTCAGAGTAATCTGTGCTCACAGCATTGTTGCCATGTCAAAATATCTCTCTGAATCATGGGTTTTGTCATCACTTTGGGTTCCAAAATAGGGTATGAAAGTCTTGTTTCATGGGAGGATTTGGTGTTGAAAAGCCCTTGAGGATTTGAGTGAGGTTTATTCTAAGGCACTAGACAGATGGGAGAAATGGTTTCCTTTCCACTGGGATGCAGTTAGCAGCTCCCACATGCAAGTGGCTGTTCAAATTGTTGGTGATGCCCCTCCAAGTAGGCTTTTTGCTTTTCTTGCTAGAACAATGGAGGCTGTAGTCCATTTGGGCTCTGCAAATATACGGGTCCTGGCACTCGAAACTGCTCCTGCTCTTGGAACAGTATCGGAGATGGCTTCACCTGCCGTGGCAAAGTGTATCAGGTGAGAAGCACGCACAGCATCTTTTGTGTTTGGGCCCCCTCCCCTCCAAGTGTAAGCTGCTGGTGAGCAGATCTGTCATACCGACAGGTGTGTGGTGTAGGAGTGGAGACAGGTGCTGAGGCAAACTATCCGTTAATCGTAGGTGTTTTGGTGTGACAGCTGTGGGAGAGAGTCACAGTAAACTGACTTCGCTCCAAAGGGAGTCATGACGTGAACACTCTGATGCTCTATCAGCAACATTGGCCATACCTCCAGGGTGCTGTTTTCTTAATGTTATAAGCAAATGAGAATAATTTTTTTTTCCCAAGGGAATCCACTTCTCCCAGTCTGTGGGATCAGGCCAGCAGTCTATCTCCAGCTCTGTTGCCAATACAACAGCTGTCCTTGGGCAAACTGATGACCTTTTCTGCTAGTGGCAAATAAAAGCTGTCATCCCCACAGCAGAGTTGGGAGAAAAGAGACAAACTCAGTTTTGTGCTTCTGCTCTTACTGAAAGTTAGCGTGGTAAGGAGAGGGGTTTTCCCTGCCAAGTCTATGTCTGCCACTCTGGACAGCATCCCAGAAATGGTAGTGGCAGCACAGTGAAGTTAAAGCGGATGTTTTGTGAAGCACTTGAGGTATCCCACAAGCTCAGGGGCAGTTAAACCTATGAGACAGCTGCTGCAGAAGCAGCCAGCTTTCATCTCTGTCTGCCCCATCCTGCAGCATCTGCAATATGAATGGTCCAGGCAGAGGTCACTGCCAGCTTCTGTAACCTCCACGTCATCCGTGCCCACAGTGCTGGCAAGGGAGGGAGGGAAAGATCACTGTGGTGTGTCAGGAGAACTGATGCCTCATTGGGGTGGGAGAGTGCTGGCTGGCCAGGAGCAAGTGGAAGAGACTCTGCTAACACAGCTGTTTCTCTTTGTTTAAGGAGCTCAAAAGGATCGAAGATGCATCCGTCTTCTCTAAGATGATACTGGTGGGTGACAAATAGCTTTGTCCTTGTCTCTGTGTAGTAAATCCCACTTAGGGTTTTCTGCAAGGTGTCTTGCTAACTGGAACCGTGGGGTTTTTTTTTCCCTTTCCCACAACTCCTACCACAGGCAGAAAACATTAAGGAGCTGAGTGGGGCAGGGCCTTTCACTGTCTTCGTTCCACAGACAGATTTCATAGGAAACACAACAATGGTAAGTGCCCTCCCATCCCAAGCATTGTCAGGTGTTTTGCAAGCTCTGGTGGTGGCTGTCCCTTCTGGGGCTGTTCTGCCCAGCAAATTGAAGCAAAAGGGCTGCACTGCAGAGGGTTAAAGGCATCCCCTGTTCTCCATCAGTGTTAAAAGCAGAGGTTTGGATGTTGGCTCACTACAGAGACAATCTGGGCATGGGTGAACATGGATGCTGCTGTAAGGAGGCCCTTACTGGAGCCCCTGCCTTATCGTCCTCAGAGGCACTGTGCCAAATCAGTGAAGCGTGGTGACGTCATTACCTGTGTCTGTTAGGGACTGGTAACAGCAAGGCTTCATGGCATCTGTGATGAAGACCTCTTATTCCTACTCTGTGCCCCAGGCCCTGCCATTCTGTCTCCATTGGTTCCTTCTTTCTAGTCCAAATAAGTGGGATGTCTGGGGCAAATGGAGATATGAGGGAAGAGGAATCCTTATTCATGACCCTGTGAACCAGACAGGTTCTTAACCAACAGCTTTCTGGTGTTGGTGTAATGGAAGATCCTAATCCCATCACTCACAAGTCCTGTTGTGCAGCTTCACACCACTAGTCCCAACCTTTTTCCCATGGCCACCCTATCCACCCAGGAAAGGAACAATTCCCAATGACCATGTGTCCCAGGTGTAACTTCCTCAAGGCCCATGTGGTTGTTTGTTCTCCATCAAGTGACCTGAATGCTGTCTTTTGTCAAGCTGGTCGAAATTTCCCAAAGCTCTCAAGTGGTTTTGTGCATTCACTGCATTTTGGGGGAACTGGCTTTCCTGCAGGGATGGGTCACAGGGGGCTTGGGCAATCCTCATCATTTCCAGGCCTCCCGCCCCCAAGGCAAAGTGCCCCCAGTGTGATCTCATTCTTGTTTTCTCTCTGTAGTTTGAGGAGTGGAGGAGCAGAGGTCTCCTCCGGGACCTGCTTCGTTACCACATGGTGGGTTGCCAGAAATTGCTGTCCAGTGACCTGGAAGACCAGGAGTCCCTTACATCTTTATCTGGCTACAAAATAAAGATCACAATGAAAGAGGTAGTTCTCTGCTACAATCCTCTTCCCTGTCCCACTTGTCAGGATGTCACTTATGCTGTCATTTGAAGGCCACTGTGGTTGTGGCAGGTGACTTGCCTAGGGCCCACAGATGGCTCACAGGGCACTGCTGTGGGTGGGAATACCTCATCACATCCCTTCTTTCTCAGAATAGCATCTATCTTAATGAGGAAGCCAAAGTGGTCGTGAGTGACATCATCGGCGTGAATGGGGTCATTCATTTAATCAATAAGATGCTCATTCCAAGTGACCTGGTGGACCGTAACGTTTCCTCAAAGATCTCACTGGTAAGGCTGAAGCAGTGACTGTGCCCTGATAACTGCTGTAGTGAGAACAGGGCTAGGCTCTTTCTCCCAGCAGCTCTGATAGTCCTGATAAGTCCTCCACCTGCACGCTCAGCCCAAGGCTGTGAGGTGCTCTTCCTCCGTGTTCCTCGCGGTGTAGGGCATGGCTGAGGGCACAGATTTGGCTTGTGAAGGTGACAGCATTTATGGCGTAGCAATATTTGGGACCAGAACTGTGATTCGTCACTAGGGAACAACAGTACTGGATGTAGGCAGGGGGGGTCATGTCCCATGCCAACCATCACACTCCTTTTCCAGTGCAGTGCAGATTGCAGTATGAGATTTCCAATGTCTCTGGTACTCCTGAAACAAGAGCTAGGAGCTTACAGCTCCTGCATTTTACAGTAAATAACACATTTTCTGTACAGCACAACAGAATGCTGCAGTTCATCCCAGCTTCTGCTATAGCAGCGTCTACCCAGAATGAATCAGAAAAGTGGCAGCTGCTGAATGCCAGAGCTCGCCAGGCCAAATCCATTGGCATGATGATGACAGAGATAAACTTGTCGTGTTTAGCTACTGTAATTGTTAACTGTCTGGTTTCTCCCCTGCATCACTGCTCCAGGTCCTGGAGGAGGACCTCTTAGCGACAGTTATTTGCTTTCTTCCCTCTGCAGCAAAATATCACGGAAGTGGCAGAGGCCTTTGGGTACACCATTTATAGCAAGCTGCTGCAGGTGAGCAACCAGACTCCTGCTGCTCTGTGGGAAGGTGGTGTGTACATGTGCATGTTCAGTTTTGGCTTGTGGCTTTTTCTTCGTACCTCCTCTTATCTCGGACAGGATGCGGAACTGCTTCCACTGATTCGTGACACCCTGCATAGACCCTTCACCATGCTGTGGCCCACAGATACTGCATTTAACGCCCTCTCGGAGAAAAGGCAGAAGTGGCTGTACCGCAGAGAGCATCGGGACGTGCTGGCCTCCTACCTCAAAGCACACATGATCAGGGACGCAAAGGTAAATGTGACAACAAACAGGCTCCTACCTCCTGAGGCCACATGTGGTGCCACCAGAGCGACCTTGCCCAGTATTTTGCTGCTGTAGAACATGGAGCATATTAGTTGTCTGGAGGAGACCCAGAGCTGTTCGAGCATTTGAGGCAACTACCGTTTCATCATGAACCTCTGGTGCAGTGTGGTTGAGCTGAAACATTCTCTGGTCAGCTTCTTGGGGAGGCCACATCACCCCCAGAGCGTTGATGCAAGCCTCACAAACACGTTCTTGTCTATAGGGGTAGTGAACAAGGGAAGGGTCCAGGGGCTGCTTACGCAGGCTGGCCTCACTGTTCAGGAATCTGGGACTAACCCAGCACAGTTACACTGTTCCACCCACATCAGCTTTGTGTGCTGCCATGTCACACCCCCTCAGTGTGGCTGCTGACCCCTGTCCTCACCAGGCAGCATCCTGTTAGAAGTATGAACTGCCAGTTTTGCCTGTCTCTCCCTTCATATTCTCCTTTTTCCCTCTTAGATTGTTGCTGGTAATGTGCCCCAAGTCAAATCCATACGGACCATGCACGGCTCCACTGTCTCGTTCAGCTGCAGCAAAACTCACGTGGTGAGTGGTGGCGATGCTGGGCTCTGCTTTCCACTAAGCAAGTGTCCCTGGGGGTAGCCATGGGGCAACTGACGCTCCATGTTGGTCACCGGCAGGAAGAGAACACAGAGCTGAGGTGCTTGCAGGCTGAGATGCCATTCCCCTGGCTATAGCTGAGCCTGTAGAGACGCCCAAGACGGTGGCTGACTGTCAGGGAAGTGTGGAGGCATGTGGTACCTGCACACACTTCATGATGACCAGGTTGCGAAGCCAACCGCATGGTGCCGTGACCTTTACAGAGCATGTGTTGCAAGGACATTTCTCCATTTCTTGGGAGAGATGGCCATGAAAAGAGGCAATTGGGAAGGGTGGTCAAGAACATGAGGGGTGATTGAGAAGTCATGACAGCCAAAAAGGACAACCTTTGGGTGGTGTGGCCAGGATGTAGGATGTGTCAGGATCATAAGTTGCTTTCTTTTTCTGGTAGGGGGAGCTTCTGGTGGGGAACGGCGATGCCACCATCATCCAGAGGCACATGGAATTCAATGGGGGCATTGCTTATGGCATTGATAGGCTGTTGGAGCCACCGGATCTGGGATCTCGGTGTGATGGGTTCATCTTTGTTGAGCTGCAGGTGAGCCCTTGCGATGAGGACAATGAGCATCTGTGCTACCTGTTGAGCCCCATGCCTGGGAAGAGGGATGTCAGGAGAGCTTGCTACTCTTCCCTGGCAAAGCTCTGAGCAGCTAAGAGAGGCAGAAGCATATCTTGAGTTGTTGTGAGGTTTCTTTGTCCCCTCCACAGGGATCTACAGAAAGCTGTGGACTCTGTGGCTTCGAGCCACCCTGCCCTGCTGGCTCCATTCAACAGGTAAAGCTCACAGCTTTGTCATCAAGGAGGCCTGTTATTGGACTGATGACAATACCCACATGCCCCTCATGTTTTAGCAGCAAAATTAAAGCACACCTGCATGTGGCAAGTCCCTTCCTTGGCTCAGTTGCATTGTCCTTGCCTCGCCCCAAGTCACGCAGTCCTGTAGGGCAGGAGCTGGGCTGAGCAACATGGGGTCAGGGGCTCCAGTGGTCTTTGGGTGACAGCAGCTGCAGGACGCCCTGCAGCAGCACTGAGGGCTTCTCTGGGTGCTTTATAGTAAAAGAGTTCAGCCTGGCTGCTGGAGATGGACCAAGGATCAGATGGTGAGCAGTCTTGCAGGGGCAGTGGTTGTACTCCACTCACTGCATTACTTGTTGTGCCTCTCTGCTGGGCTTCTGGCATGTCCCTGAGGTACATCTCTGGCTCCTCTGTCACCAACGCCATCGCATGTTAGGAAGCCTCTATTACTTGTCATAAAACTGTATGAGTGGCACCAGAAAAGTCAAGGTGAGACATCAGTGACCCATGTGGCAAACTCTTGTGTTTTGCCCGTTTCCTTGCAGGGGGACACCAAGCGCTGCTACTATTATGGAAACCAGCTGTTGAGAAACACTTTCCTGTTTCACCGCAACTCCCTGTTGCGGCCATCCTGGTCGTCATCCTCCCCGTGGGACCCCTTCAGAAGACACTTCTCTTCCAGGGGGCCTCTGAAACGAGGCTGCAAGAGGAGCTGCTTTTCTACCCAGTGGGTCCCTCAGTGCTGTGCAAACCACTATGGCCGTGACTGTCGGGGTAAGGAGCTGTGCAACCCTTTCCACCCCAGCCCTTTCTCTTGTGGGAATGTGGCATTAATGATTCAGCACAGATGTCTGGCATCCATGAACGTGCTTCCCTGGAGAAGAGTGGGCAAAACCCCAGGCAGGGAGTCCCAGTCTGTGGAGGGTGCAGGGAACAATCCCCTGGGAGTGTGTGTGGATGGTATCATAACATGGAATTCCCTTTCCTTCGAGAACCACATGTCCCCGTCTCTCCTGGGCACAGGGCTACTGGGGGTGGCTGTCAACCATGCCACTCACCCCTAGATGTTACTGATGCTCAACCATTCCCTGGCACCTGCCCTCTGTGCTTTGTGCATGGGCAGCTTTCACGTCCTTGGATGAGTCTGCTGCCATGTTAGCATGGGGCAGATCAGCAGACTCAGCACATTGCTGCAGAGGGTCTTCTCAGGCTGGAAGCTATGCCAAATTTGTCCTTCTTGCCCCTGTTCCTAAGGTTTATAGTCATGGGATGTCCCCAGCACTCGCTTGCCAGCCTGCCGAGCAGGCTCTGTGGTCTGAGCACCCTGCAAGCGGCAGCTCACGTGGCACCTTGTGTGGAGGCTCTGCACAGGGGCAGCAGGTGGCTCCTCTCCAGCACATGGTCACTTTATCACCGCAGCCTCACTAAGGTGCCCCATTTGCAGTGTGCCCAGGAGGGCTGGAGGCACCATGTGGTAACCGTGGTACCTGTGACGACAAAATCGGTGGTTCGGGGAGATGCAACTGCAGCCGGGCTTTCATTGGGACCAGCTGTGAGCTGTGTGCGCCGGGCAGATATGGGCCAGACTGCCGAGGTAAGGGGGAAGCTGTGGGGTGGCAGCAACACAGAGGGTTTGTGCAGAGGTGGCTGTGGCACATGGTGCACTTGGAGAGGGGGTAGGTGCTGAGCTGACCTCTTTGCAGCCTACAGCATGGGAATCAGTGTTGCCACATATGCATCAGTTATACTTGGGTCAGACCTCTGGGGCTGGGGACATCCCTCCTTGGGCTCTTGGCCCGACAGCCGTTAATCCAGCTGTAGTTTGAGAAGGCTGGGTGGCACGTGCTGGGAGCTGTGGCCAATGCAGCCATGCTGCTGATGGCCTCACCTCTGTGCCGAGGCCCCAGGGTCAAAGACCCCTTCTTGTTTGTCAAGAACAGCTGAGAGCTCCAGTCTGGCAGAAAGTATTATGACGTATTTTGAACTGGGGGACAAATCTGTAAGTTGTGATGATCCTGGTGCACCTGGGACATGCTCAGCAGGGACCTGTGCCCCTGTCAGGCAAAGGGAAGGAACAGGGAGGCCCCCATCTTCCCATCCCAAGCTGGGCCTTACGGGGTCTCCAGGAACATTTTTGATGGCTGTATGTTTGCAGGGACTTAGAGTGAAAAATGCATCTCTAGAAATGCCCAGGGGAGGGGAACAATGGGGGTTTGTGGGTGCAGAGGGGGTTCCCCTCCTCCGTGAAGGGTGTGTGTTGCAGAGGGGGGCCAGGGCTGGCAGCAACAGGAAGGGGTTTTTGGTGTGTATTGCCGTGTCTGCCTTCATGCACTACCCAGACAAGCCACTTTTCTGCCACGTGGCTGTCCCATGGCCTAAGCATGGCCTTTCTCTACCACCAAGGCATATGCTGTGGCAGTGTTTTTATCCATTCCCCACAGAGTGTAACTGTACCAAGAATGGTGTGTGCAATGGAGGACTGCATGGTGATGGCTTCTGCTTCTGTGCCGAGGGCTGGACTGGAGACCGCTGCGAAATCAGACTAGGTGAGGGATGCCAAGCCTCACTGCCCGCTGTTCCCTGGGACCTGGTGCCGTATGGCCACTTTCCCAGTAGCTGGGTTTTTCAAGCAGACAGTCAGAAATATTTCCGAAAAGGAGCTCTCAGTAGCAGGGCTCATCTTCAGATCTGGCCTGTGCTGTTGAACTTCACAAGGGCTGGGTGGTGAGGGGGAGGAAAGCTCCACTTGATCACAACCAAGTCCCTGAGCTCAGAGGTGCTCCAAGAAGAGCTTGAGGGTGAGGTGAAGGCCTGAGGTGTATCTGATGGAGTATTGGTCCTCTACATTTGGGTAAGGTATCTGCAGAAAAGCACAGGGGGAAAGAGAGGGCAGCGTGGGGCAGGTGGCCTGGCGCGGGGGCTGGCAGTGGTAGCCACACCTGTGTTGCTCAGCCCTTAGCTCATTCTGACCTGTGTGTTCTGGTTTCAGTCATGACACCCACCTGCTCTCCACCATGCCACCCCCAGGCCGTCTGCCGCTCCAGCAATCTCTGCGAATGCAACCTACACTATGAAGGAGATGGGAGAACATGCTCAGGTAGCGGGGAGCCAGGAGGGGCTGGGGTGGAGGGGTGGTGAGCAAAGGGGAAAGCAGACAACTCGGCAAGACAACAGGCGACCATCTCCTGATGGCCGTATTGTTGTGACGACTGGCAGGACAGACAGATCACCAGGACACTTAGCAAGGTGTTTTAGTTAACCTGACTCTTCTGTCCCTGCAGTGATCGACGTGTGCAGCCAGGACAACGGGGGGTGCGCCAGGCACGCACAGTGCACGCAGGTTGGCGTGAACGTCTCCTGTGCCTGTGCTCCTGGGTATGGAGGCGACGGCTACGTCTGCGACCCCATAGACAGGTGTGCAGATGGTAGGAATGGGGACTGCAGCCAGCACGCCAACTGCATCAGCACTGGGCCGGTGAGTACATCCCCTAGATCTGCGGAGATCTGCATGCCTGGGAGAGCAGTGCAGGTGGCTGCCCTGGGATGCTTCAGGCTGCAGGAGGACAGCAATGTGACAGTGTCCTCTGTTACTGCAGTCCCCAGGCCTGCCCTCCTCTCCGGTCCTCTCAGCTGTTGCACTCATCCTGCAGGTCCTTACTGCCAGGCAGGGGCCATGCCCTCGGTCTGCTGCCTGGCTGTGGTAATGGTCCTGGTGATGTTATGCTGAGGCCATTTTTCCCCATTTCTCTGTCTAAGGGGCATAAGCTGTGTCAGTTGTGGCATTTCTGGACTGTTTTGAGGGCTCAGGAACAGTCCTTTGAGGACGATGCTGGCCACTTTTGCAGAGGAACTAAAGATGACCAGTGCAGGCCAGAAGATGGGACTGGGAGGATGATGTAGTGCAAGAATCATGAGCCATGTACCTCAAATCTCAGCTGTCTTTCAAACAGCACGTGACAAGGATTCAATGTGACATTTTTTGGTTTGTGTGCAGTTGGATGTGGGGGTGGGACAGAGGCTACGTGGCCTTTCGTGGCTCTGTCATAGTCCCAGGAGACATAGGGACATTCTGAAGGTTCATGCCCATCTTCTCAGGGACACAAGGATCCCCAGCTGGCATCTGCATGTTTGCACTCGCACAAATGCTGTCCTTCCTTTGTGCTGCAGAACGAACGGCGCTGCGAGTGCAAGCGAGGCTACGTTGGTGATGGGATCCAGTGCCTGGAAGAGGCTGTGCCCCCCACAGACCGGTGCCTGGAAGACAATGGGCAGTGCCATCGGAAGGCCATTTGCACTGACCTGCACTTTCATGGTGAGTGTCCTGAACCCCCTAGTGCCAGGAATGATGTTCCATGGAGACGTCACACTCCCTCATCCTTCACCTGGCTGGAGCACCCCTCAGAAGAGCCAGAGGGTGGGACGGCCGAGGAGCCGGGGGACTCACCTCTGTAGCTCGGTCTGGTTTTTACATTCCCCTTTTCCCCTGCATGTTATGTGGAGAGGACGAGCCATCCTTGTCTGCTCCTGTGTGACATGTGAGATGGTCTCTGGTGGGATTACACTGCCAGGAAGCACTGACTCCCTTGTGGAAGGCGAGAAGCTTGGAGGAGGCCCTGCTGCATCGCACCTCACCCTCACATTGTCCACATCGCACCCTTCTGCACAGCACAGAGTGCCCTCGGTTGGCGGTGCTGTCTGCTCACACAGGGGACCCACACGACTGCCCCAGGGAGGCTGCTCGCTCTCTCTACTGTACTGATGCTCCCTGGCCTTGGTGTTTTGCAGATAAGACTATGGGCGTATTTCATCTGCAGTCACCCCGAAAAAAGTACGGCTTCACTTATGAGCAGGCTCAGAAGGCCTGTGCCACAGAAGGCGCTTCCCTGGCCACTTTCCAGCAGCTCGCCGCAGCGCAGCAGGTCAGGCAGGGATGCAGAGGTGGGGCAGGGGCTGGCTCCATCACCTTGTGGGGTGGGGACATGCAGTGCTTCTCCTAAGGCCCAGTCCAGCAGTAGTGAGCCCATGACAGGTGGGTGGGTGACCACACATCCCCTTGGCCAGGCCTCGTTTGCTCCATCTACATTCATGAAACCAAAAAGGCTGCTGGGTCTTGCCAGTCACGTTAGGAAGAGACCTCTGGCAGTGCCCAGCCCTTTAGGCGTTGGGGGGATGTCTGATAAGGCTGCACGATGGGAGTGTGCATCAGGGCAGAAAACCTGGGCCAGAGATATTATTTTTAATCTAATCGTTCATCTTCCTCTGCTAGATGGGATTCCATCTGTGCTTGGTGGGTTGGCTGGACAATGGCACAGCCGGATACCCCACGGCCTACCCCAACCCCAGCTGCGGGGCTAACCGAGTAGGCATTGTGGACTATGGCTCCCGAAGCAACCTGAGCGAGACCTGGGATGCATTCTGCTACCGCGAGAAGGGTGAGTGGCACGAGCACGTTTCCTGGGGATGGTCCTGTCAGGCACAAGAGGTGCGTCGGGGCAGCAGGCAGAGAACTGCCCTCGGAGCATGAGGCACGGGCAGGCGGGAACATCCCCCTTCTCCCCATGTCCGTGTCAGGAGGGAACATGCTGGGGGGTATCCAGAAGTCCAGGGAGAGGTGGTCACTGTAGCCAGCATTGGCGAGTTAAGTCACATCTTGGTGTTGCTTTGCAGATCTGACTTGCACCTGCCGTGATGGGTTCGTGGGAGATGGGTATTGGTGCAGCGGCAAACTCCCTGATGTGCTCGCAGACCACGCTCGCTTCTCCACTTTCTATTCCGTAAGTGATGCTCTCCTGGTTCTTTGGCATGCCAGCAGCTGGCAACAAGGCAGAGGGAGGGATCGGCCATAACAGGGAGAAGCTGTTTGGTCTGTACGCGAGGTAGAGAGTACAAACACAGAGGCTGTACGCGAGGTAGAGAGTACAAACACGGAGGCATTTTCTTTCCAGGGCTGGGGGATGTTTCCTGGGCTGGGGAAGGTAACAGCACTGAGCTGCTGGCAGTGTGCTGATGGGGAAGATCTCCTGTCTTTTCCAGATGTTGCTCGATTTTGCCAATGACACAGAAGAAGGACTGGATTTTTTCATCTATTTGTCTGATGACTCCGCTCCCAAAACTCTCTTCGTCCCTCTGAATTCTGGCTTCGCAGACAATGACGTAAGCAAGCAGGGATGAGCGGCCACTTGAGGGTGCATGGAACGAACTATCAGAGCCCCAGAGGGGAGCAGGAGACTGGCATGATGGTGATGTGAAACAGAGCCTGGGGAAGAAGGAGGACTCTAGGTCAGAGGAGACTGCTGGAGGTCTCTAGTCCAACCCCTCCCTCAGAAAAACATTTAGGTCAGGTTGCTCAGAGCCTTCGCCAGTTGAGCTTAGACTATTTCTAAGGATGGCAACCATCCCCCCATGTCGCCCATGAATTGAGCTGCCCTGTGGCCATGGAGGGTGTCTGGGCTCAGGCCGGTGAGGGGGCTGCACACAGCAGGAGGGAAGGGGTGAGAGCCAGCTCAGCCTTTTCTCATCCCTGCTCCCTGTCGATTTTTCAGACGCTGACAGGAGAAGAACTGAAGCTCCATGTGTCATCCAGCAATGTCATCCTCTTCAGCTTCAACCTCACAACGGGCACCATCATCCCGTCCCAGTCAGGATACGACCTCCATGTATCAGACCTCCCAGCAGGCAACAGTACAGAGTACTCAGTAGGTTTAACCTGGCAGAGGTCAAAAAACCCCCACAAGTTTTCCCCATCTGTTTTGAGATGGGGAACAGGAGGCTTTCTGGTTGGGTGAAATCATCTCTGTGCTGTGCTTTAGGAAGCCAAGGGGATCAATGACACGATGATTGTGGAGTGGGACATCATAGCTTTCAACGGCATCATTCATGCGATTGCAGAGCCGCTGAGGATCCCACCACCCGTCATTCATCTTGGTCAGGTGAGTGTCTGAGGGCATGAACGGGGAAGGAAGGTGCTGAAACAGCTGGCGCCAGGCCTGGGGGCCAGGTTGAGGTGACCGAGTCATCCCAAGGACTGGCCTTTGCTCGTTCTGGCTGGGCTGTCCACAGTCACTCCGGGTGGCCGCAGCAGGGTGGCTGTGCCACAGCTCCCATCCATGGCTCTGCCGGGGAGTGCCATAACCGGGCCGCTGGTTTCCGACACAGGTGAA